GTTTTAGGCGTCGATCATTCATGACACCTTGATGTTGGTGCTAGGGAGTTGTAATGCGGACTCCAAGTGAATGGGCTTTTGGTTTTCTATATATACGTATATATGTTTTCTATTTTCCCAGAATTTTTTTTAAATGGATTTACGTTTTTAAATGTCATGTCAATTGCATTACATTTTAGTATATGCATTAATATAGATATGCACATTATTGCTTGACGTTGCGGACGCCCGGGTAAGCTTCAGGTGAGTGCGTATTGATGACAGTGATTTCGGTGTGTATGGTTATGTTTAGATGCATTTAGTGCTTATTATTCTACACCCCAGTGTTAGTGCTCCTGCCCATGGCTAAGGCACAGCCCTTCACGTGAAGTTCACCTCCCACACTGCACGCTCACCTTGGATCCAAGTTTGGTGCACAGTCCTGTTGTACAAACCACATTAGGTGGTTCCGACTCGTAGGTGACCCGCGATTATTTGCACAGCCTTCACGTGATCGTAGCACTTAAGCGTACTTATATACACCCAACCCTGTCGTCCAAACCACATTAGGTGGTTCCGACTCGTGTGTAGGAATTGGTTAATGAGCTATAGGTTCAACCGTACAGGTCATATTAGGTAATTGGCATATCATTTTACATTGATTTATTTCACATGGCTTGCTTATTTCATTGCTGAGATACTTGACATGGCATATACTCAGTTTTCACTACTCTCGAGCATGATTTCTATATACGTATGTATTATTATTTTCTGGGAAATTATACGGGTTTTACGGCGAAGGGTTATAACGTTTTCAAAAGGTTTTTATTAAAAACTTTATTTTTAAGGCCACTCACCCTTGTTTTGCGCCCCTCCAGGTTTTAGCTGCTAAAAGTTCGTATTGACGAGGATTCTTGGAAAATCTCAGTTTAGGTGGCTACCTCTGATGGTATGATCCTTACTCACACTACTGTACTTTACTTATGCTCTGGCATTGCGTGTGAAATGGGCTCATTCCTGCTCACAGCGCACTCTTGTCTTTAAGTACTTTTAAGTTTAAATTTATTCATATTTTCCACATCACTATACTTTATGGCTTCGTCACCTTCCAGGTGTCGGCCAGCACAACTCGATTCGGAGTCCTAATGGACATTCCGGGTCGGGGTGTGTCAGAAGGTCATAGATGGTCATTAAATTTTTCTTTCCTAGAAAACAAAATTATCGTTATAGAAATAACTTAACTATTTTTCTGTCAATATTTCATGCAATGTGTGTACTTACCACTTGTATCCCATCCAAATCTAGCTTTATATGGGAAAACGTTAGGTAAATTTCTTGGTGAATAGGATGTGGAGAATGCTAAGATGGTATATGCCAACACATTCACACAAGGGTACCTTTCCAAACGTTATAAATTGGAACCTAGCTAATACTACAATATTGTTGCAAACTTCATAAAAACCCTAGCTATCCTGTAGTAGGTCGTCTTTTCTAGAGTCCCAAAGGAATATCGTCCTGAATATAATTACCACCTTTTCAATTTCATACTGCAAGAGAATAAAAAGTGCATTATAAGATGGAAGAAATATCCCCATTACTTTTACATTTGTAACTAGAAAGAGAGTGAAAAAATATTCGTTGGTTCAAAACCTACTAAGAGTTTATCGGATCCATGATTTACCAGAACAAACTATGATGTCTCTCTCAGAAAGTACATTCTCTTTCTCTTCTCTCCGTCTGGTATTTTTTGTGCTTTCTAGTTTTCTTAATCTTAATGTTTATTGCTTTGTGCTTGAGGTGTGTAAACCTTTGGTTCCTTAATCGCTACGTACTCAATTCCAATGGGCTTAATTAGATGGTCTTTACTATCATATATATATATCCTCAAGGACGAGATATCAAAGCTCAGAGATCATCAATCGGAACGACGGAGTGCGTTCCAAAAATTCGAAAGCTCATCACCTCCCTTCAACCCTAAGACTTGTGATGAGAACACAAAAATACTGCTGATCATGATGAGCATGTAAACAAGGTTCATACATCACCATGCACAAGTTCTTTTTCATTTCTTTATTGTTTTCTCTAATATTCTTGTGTTGTTTGATAAATAAACCAGAACAACATATTTACTATTTGGCAATTTTAATGATTTTATACCAGGTGACCTTCCAATGTTCCGAATCGTCTAGTCATAAGGGAAATGAGACGATGCAATCATGCAAACAAAAGAAATGAAGCAAGAGACTTGAATTTTGAATCAGGCATAGCTCGTGCTTTCTGTATTACTACATGTAGCTTAACATTACCTTTTTACTTTGTTCTAATCAATATGTAATTCTGTATATTAGTTGAATATATATACTGTCAAGTTTTGTATTTCCCAGCTGCTTTGCCTTTCAATGATATTGTGTGAGAAGTAACTAAAAATAACAAAAAGCAACATTATTATTACAGAGTACATAATTAAACTATATGTAATCTCTTTTTTTTTTTTAAAGAATATACGATATATTTCATTCATGGAACGGGCAGATACAAAATTTAATACAAGAACATGACCCCTATAGAAACAAAAATCTGAAAACATAACATGATAATCCCAGGTGTTTCAAGAAACTTAAAGATACGAAGGATCCATAAAAGCCAACAAATTAATCTAGTACAAGATCATATATACACACACGCGCGCGCGCGCGAAAGCTCTCAAAACTAAGTAATATTTTCGTTAAGGAAATAAACTGGTGACTGACGGTTGAAGAACCTTTGCTCCATGATTAATCTTTTCGAGCGTTGACGTGAATATATTAGGCGATGTTGTAAATCATATCGGAATTTGTTAAGTTTAAGGAGGAATAAAAGAAGGGAGGTAGGAGATATCAACTAGCATAGTTAGCAACAACTTCAACAAAGTCTTCTTTTACATTATTTGAGTAACGGTTAATAACGACCAACGGTTTTTTCAAAGTACAATTCTTGCATCACTCCATGGGTGTACGGCTTTTAAAAAAAATTTAATACACGTATCTTAAATGCTTTTTCCATAAATGAAAATCATTCTTATGGATCACATAATCATTTTTCTAGGGTTGGAAATGAAAATTTCCTCTATTTTATATATCTACCAATTAGAGGTGTGAATATTTTTTATGCACCCAATTAGCATGTAATTTAATTAATGCTAATAAGGAAATTGTTAGGTAAATTTGGGGCCAGAAGGATGTGGAAGCAATGCCAGAACGGTATGCCAAATGGTAGCATATTTGGTTTTAATGAATTTTGGTGAATATATAGAAGCCAAGTCGAATGAGAAGATAATGGGAAGAACCATAAAATGGTACTGCAAACAGCTAGCAGGTTAGGAGTACCGAGGATTACTCGTATACCTGTGTCCATGAAGCTGGATACGATGGGTTCGATAACAGCGTCTAATTAGTTTAACAATCATGACTTAGTTTTTTATCATTTAGCTAATTGTTTCCTTTTTAAATGTTTTTCTTTTTATATAACAACATATTTAGATTAAAGAGTAGTTTTAAACTCGTCATTTACAAGATTTCTTTTCGCAGGTTTTCACATGTGGTGTATGAAGTTTTTCTTTTGCACTTTCAGAGGTGGTATGAAGTTAACTTAGGGCTGGTTTGGTATTGCTGTGCTTTGAAAAAAAGCTGCTGTGAGAATAAGCGGCTGTGCTGTGAGAATAAGCGGCTGTGAAATAAATCAGCAGAGCGTTTGGTAAACTTTTTTGTAAAAGTGCTTTTGGAAAGAAAAGCAGTCTGATAGTGGGTCTTTTCATTAAAGGAGCACTGTAGCTCCGTGTGCTTTGAAAAAAAGCCAGTTTTCCAAAGCTGCAAATAGCAGCTTCAGCTTTTTCCTTTGATTTCAGCTTATTCTCACAGAAGCTTCCAAAATAAGCCCTTTTTTTCAGTTTACCAAACACCTAAAACCCTCACAGCTTTTTTTCATAGGTGCTTTTTTTTTAAGTACCTCACTCCCAAACTAGGTCTTAGTCCATCAGATTGGGGTTAAGGGACAAAACACGCGACATATTTTTTTATATTTGGGCTTGGTTTAAGTCTTTATCATGGAATTGAATATTCAATACTTGTCATTCTCTGAATCAATATTTCTTGTTCGGTATAAGGACAACACGATTAGATAATTATAATAAAACTGTCTAATTTATGGATATGAATTCGAATTCCAGCTTATGGTCTTATTTTCTCGTAAAAGTAATCTAGGAACTTAATATTTATTGGTCAATTATTGAAGACAAAATTGACGGTTTACTCTGAAATAAATTAAGGGATGTGATTTAAGTATTTTAATTCCTCACTCGAAGTTCCAGTCAAAAATAATTTTCAAATATTTATTGCAGAAGAAAGACTTATAAACATAAAATTCATATTCAAAGCCTATAAAATTTAAAAATTGTCATGAGACTAAGTCTTATTTTCTCATAAAATTCACTCTCTTGCTACTGCTGCTGCTGCTACTACTTTTAGTTCTTCCTTTGGTTTGGTTCTTACCTTTTCTTAATGGTGAATCTCCATACCACAACACTGTTCCATCTTGATTCTTGCTGTTTGGTTTCTGCAATCACTTGAATTGCAATTTGCAAACGGCAAACTTACACTCTCCTCGCATTATTCCATTGCTAACACGCTGTTTGGATCGAACAATCCCAGCTCCAATGTTTCCCTTTTTCCACTCGGCTATGTTAATGGTGTAAGATGATGTCCAATTTAATTGGACCTTGTCTCGTCCTACATCATATACGACCTTCAAATTGCAAGACTAAAGATGCAGAGAAGGCGAAATGAGTTTTCTATCAAGCACAACTCAAGTAACAGCATTTGATGTCCAGGCATTTCTCCTCTGTTAGTTAATTTCATTTCTTACATTTACTTTGTGATCAACTTCTTGTTAATTGTTCTAAGTTCAACCCTGTCAATTTCTTGTATTTCTATACAACCGAAAAATATTGTGAATGTTTCACTAACCAGCAATTAGAGACAACTGCATAACAAATTCTGCGGTTATATATTAACAAGTTCAAGGGAATTAGCAATCAGAAGCGTCCGGTAAGACTGCTTCCAACAAGCAACAAGTCATCTGCATCATACTGTCATATGAACATCAGATTCCAGAAGCATTAGAGAATTAAACAGCAATATAAAGACCAAGGCTTTTCATATCAATCATCATCCATGAAAAGTGAAGGGTCGGTCACGAGAAATTATCCCATCAGATACAAAAAGGGTAGTGCTATGGCCTCTATATCCGTCAGCTCCTACAGTATATCTAAGGCTAAAACCATCAAAGAATGATGGCAACTAGACACACATTCTACTGTACTGTCTGAAAAAAGAGTTTTCAGAGTGATAACTCAACACTTTACTATGACCTTCAGCGAGACATGAAGCTTCAGACTAAAAAATGACGGTGCTCAGTCAGTGTAAAGTTACCACCAGAAGATGATTGAATGTTATGTGTCATCAGTAGATGATAAGCAATATCAACGGAAGATGATAGAGGTCACACTGAGGGTCAGATAGGTATCACTAGAAGGTGATATGTCTCGCGATCTAGGTATCACTAGAAGGTGATATGTCTCACGATGTTGGTATCACAAGAAGGCGATACACCTTCACCTGCTTGGGTCCTTGTCCAAACTCCTATGTGCTATGTTGGTAATGTTCCTTCATCAAAACAGATCAGCGCATTGACATCAGAGTTCGGACTTTTTGCTCCCTCTCAGCCTTCTTTGAGCTAGGCGTTCTCTTCAGCCTCTCAAGTTCTTTCCTGACCACTTTCTCCACCATGTCAATTGAGTTCATTAGTTTCTTCTGTGGTGTAAGAAATTCTCCTTCAGATGGCTGATTACTGACGTCCCTTAAAATTTGTTGAACTTTACCAACAGAAGGGGGCAGACAGTGCTTGGTCCGAACAGCTGAATACGGAGTCATAGGTACTCCATGATCAAATTGAGCACCTGACACAGGAAGAGACTGATCAAGGGCATTCTGGTCTTGTGGAACTTGACCCTCAGTGTTTTGGCCATCGCTCTCAATCAAGCGAGCTCTTCTACTTTCAATAGCCTAATCAAAAGTATACAAATTACACAAGTCAACCACCTATTAATTATATGCTAAAGATTCAAAAACAATTAAGAGACTATTCAAGAACATCAATGAATATCATTAACAATTCCACGACGGACTCAGAGGCAGAATCCTGAGCTAAATATTCCAGTTGATAACCGCCATTAAAATAATTTGAAGTTGCAAATAAAAACATGGGAAACAGAGGCAACAGTATGCAAAAGTTTGAAGATTATAATTGAGCACCATTCAAAGACCAAGAGACACGATATAAGTGACAATTCATATCAAGTGTAAACAAGGAAAGAGACACGATATGGGAAAAAACTATCAGGGTTGTCAAATGAGGTTTAAAATTTTGAACAGAAACAGTTGAAGTATGCAAGGAGATACCAATAGCGTTCATCAATTGCTATATGTTCAACTTCTTACTGCAACAAACAGATACTCATCAACTGCTATAGATTTAGAATCAAGCCCAGGCCAATAGACAATAAGATTTACTCAAACAATTGGAAGAAGTTAATCATAAACCATGAAGACCAAAACATAAAGATAAGTCAAATGAATTATATCCTCAATGCATAACAAAGGGTTAAGAAAGTGAGCATACCCTAACCACAGCAGTGATATCCTGGAGAGGGGATCTTGGGTACCAATAAGGCAACACGCTGTTACTAGCTCGGCCCCCTCTCTGGTGAGAACTCCCTCTAGGCGTATTCTCTCTGTCCACCGTTGACAACCTAAATGGGATTCGACCACGCCCAGTCACGGTTCTGGGAGTCCTCAAAATGCTCCTTGGGAGCCGTCCACCACCAACAATTCCGGTAGCCCGAATCCCCAAGCCTGTTGGTCGTCTCACCGGAGGAGAAAAGGCTAGAATAGTCTGCTCTGGCGGATCAATATAAACTCTCCGGTTGCCGGCCAGCCTCTGAGCATAGGCTGCGGCCAGGTCAACTGGTCTTGACAATCGATCTCTCGCTTCAGGCATTTTCACGATTCAACTGAAACGGCAAAGTAGAAACTTAGATCCAGAATTTTCACATGAAGTTCAAAAAGAAAGAAGAGGGGAACTCTCACTTTCCCAGAAAACGGAACATTCTCTCGGGAAAATAAAAGAAAAGTATCGCAAGAAAACGCATAATTCCCCGACCCAGGAAACACTTGTATCACAATCCATAAATTTTTATCACAGGTCTTCTTTTCCCAGAAAATCCATAATAAAACGTAACTAGTTCCTGAGGATATTTCCACCAGTAGTGTGTTTAAAATCTGCACAAAGAATATAAGAGCTCTCACTTTCCTAGAAAAATATTCCATTTTCTCGGAAAATCAAGGGCAATCGTCTCAAGAAAACGCGAAATTAACCTAACCCAGACGACATTCTTATCAGAAATGATAAATCTAATAGCAACCCAGATGTGCGATTACAGGGTAATAATCGATCAGAGAGAAGAAACCAGTGATTTTACCTGGATGTAAACTAGGGTTTCGGGAGGTTTGCGTTTGGGAGCGTAGAGTGGGAGGTCTCTGATCTGAAAGTTGAAGAAGAAGAAGAAGAAGATTTGGCCCTGTGAGAGAGAGCGAATGGCAAATTTCAAACTGGAAAAATGGGCGGTAATATAAACCTACAAACAAAATCCCCAAAATTTTCACACGAGTTTGAAAACTTTCGCACGTGTTAGAAAAAATTTCAGTTCTTTTTTTATATTTTGCCCCAAATTTCCAAATATGTTGAAATTTCAAATTGTGTGAAGACCATCTCTAACCCTTTAATAGAACTTTGGGCTTTATACCATGGGTTGGAACTGGCCTTTCACTGGCCTACCTTGACCCTTGTTATTTTGAGGTCATATCTAGTATTCAAAGTTTGCCTCAATTTGGTACCGCTCTCGTAACCTGCACCTAAATAGTGCTTTACCCTTAGATTCCAGTCAACTGTTGCGCCCTTTCTTCTGTTCTTGCTTGCTCACTGGGAATGAAATGTGCAGCATGGAATGATAGGTTTCTTTGTTAAGCAAGATACTATATATATATATAGATAAACCTATAGATTCACACCCGATATCTTTTTCTAACTAAACGGAACCTCTTCTTGTGATGTGGAGACTGAGCAACATGTTCCGCTTAGGAGTCACAACCAGAGATCAAACAATACCCGAAAGAAACTTCAACAACGGGGGGCGTGTCACTTTCAATTAATGTGTGATTCCAATCTTTTATCATCATAACTTATTTTGTTGGAACTCAAATTTTCTCCCAATAACTAAAAAGTGTGTCATGCCTGAATCTAACAAGGGTTCGCAGTGGTGGAGGAACTGGATCGGAAAAAAAGAGGGCTTCTAGTTGTAAGATTGGCCACTGAGCAAGTCAAGGAAGTGGGCGATATGTAGAGGTTAGACCTTTTTGGGCTCGAGCTGCTATGCTTCACCAGGCAGCCATATATTAATTTGTTGAAAACAGCTCCTTTGCCTCGTATGGCAGCTTTCAATCCCATATTTAGTTTCGTGTGCGCATTTGCTTCAAAGAGTTTCAAAGTAACTGTTTTACGTCTTTAAGCACGAATCAAGATTGAGAAAAGGAAGTTTTCCAATCATTGACTCAAACCCATTGGCATCGACTGAATTGGTACGAAAGTTGTAACATGAGAAAACCATAGAAAAAAAAGAGGGCTAATGAGTATAAAGTGAGTGACAAGACTAGACTCAAAAGTGCTAAGTTGGCCGCCAGAGAGGAAGCCAAATCGGCCTTTTAAGCACAGCTAAGGTAGTATGCGTTGGAGAAAGCCAGGGCTCCGAAACCACAAGAATCCTTAGTTAGAATGGAATTCCAACTCAGCACTTTTCCTTTTGAGATTTTGTAGACCACCATTGTTTTCTTCCTTCATTTCATAGCTTTAGGAAGGAAGATTTACTTTTGGGTCGTTAATTTACTGGGTTAAAACTTATAATTTTTAACCCAAAAAATTTAGGTTTTAACTTAGGAACAGTTTTTCTCGTCCAACCCTTTTGGGTTAAATTTTTAGTCTGAGATTATTAAAGAATGAATTTAGGATTATTTTTTTCTTAAGGTAACTTAAAAAAAATGCATACTATCTTAATTTAATTTTATGAACATTTTAACTTAAAAATATTTAGATTCAAATAAATATTGAAAAATCATTAAACCAGCACCATAAAACTCATGGAACACTACGAAAGAATATGAAACTCATGAAACAATTTTTTTTTTAAATTTGGACAGTTACATTTTTTTTTTTTACCGTTAGATTTGATCAAATTACATTTTAGCTGTTGGATTCATTAAATTTATAAATATAAAACTAAAAAAAATACACATATATGGTGGGCTAGCCCCACTAACCCAGGGGGTAAACTGGGCTAAATTTGTCCCATAAATGAGTTTTAGGTTTTAACTCATATTTACCCCAAGGTTGGAACAAGTTGGGGTAAGTTTAGAATCTAACATTTGAGTTTTAATTCAAGGATTGGAGTAGGTCTAATGAGCAGCTTTTGTATTCTTGGTGCTTCCATGTCTCATTTTAAAATTTAGCACATTTTGAAAAATCTCTATTCACTATTCGTAATAATTCGTTATACATTGGAAAGTAATTAGAAAATTATTACAAACTCATTGCAACGTTAACTGCATTTCTAAGGCTCTGAAACCTCACTGTTGGTACGCATCGTTCTAATTGTTTTTGCTTTCAGGGCACAGAGGGGAGCCCTCGTTCTTGCCCAAATTCTGACTTTGGTACTCAAGGTCATCGTCCTTTGTCCGTATTTTGGTACTCATCTTTCTGATTGATTCTGTATTGGTTACGAGGAACACCTTTATCCGTAACTCTATAAATAGTTACATTGCGATCATGATTTTGTTCAGTATTTCACTCACAATTGACGTAGACGATTTTCATATGTATATGAACTCTCTACTGAGTTGAGGAAACCACCAAGACACACCAAGAATTCCGAATTGACGTAGGCCGATGATTTTGGTTGCGTTGCAAACTGTTAGTGCTGTTAATTACTCTTCTGTAGTGATAACAGTAGCTTCAAGTGCAAGGTATGTTTCAATGATGTCGTATCATGTACTATGCTTCAAGCACACAGTTAATTAAGAACTGCAGCATATGGAAATGCATGAAAACAGAAAATATAAAACGTAAATACTCGAATTCTGCCCTTGAAAGCGACCAAAATACAAATTAAACTTTAATTCTGAGAAATTTTGTACAAAAACTCCTATATTCTAAATAGAAGAAACAGCTTTCCAATTCCAGATACAATTGGAGGCTTTTTTTCCCGGTAAATTAGGCTTGTAGGTACCTCATCTGTTCAATACAATCAAACACTGCCATATATAAACTACAATCTCTTCTCCTACAAAGTATATGCTTTGATGAAATGGACGGAGGAGCCCGAATGAAGCAATATTTCCCCGAAAAATAAATTGCAAAGAGAAAGTGAAGTTCAATGAAATTAGGTGGAGGAGAAGCAGCAGCCACCCTTCCTAGCACCATCCCCATCCGGGCCGGGAACAATAATTGTTGTTCCTTTTAGAAGCCCTGAATCTCCACTGTTTAGGTCACCAGCAGCAAGCGGCTTCTTGCTCATTATCCGGTATATCTCCATTAAGATCATCAAAAATGCGGTTTCCACGTTGGTGGCCTCAAGAGCAGATGTTTCCATAAAAAATAGGTTTTCTCTTTGAGCAAACTCCTGTGCATCCTCAATTGGCACTGCTCGAAGACTACCCAAGTCACATTTGTTGCCGATGAGCATTATAACAATGTTCTTATCAGCATGCCCCCTCAATTCCTCCAACCACCGTGCCATGTGATCAAACGATTGACGCTTAGTCATATCATAAACCAACATTGCTCCTACTGCTCCCCGGTAGTATGCGCTCGTGACTGCTCTGTACCTGAAGAGAGACTAAAGCGGATGAGTTTAGGAGTATGACATTGCATGCAAAATGGAAATCGCAAGGAAATATATAAAACACAAACTATGCTTTCCAATATTGGAAAGCAGCACAGTATCAAAGAAACCGAAAAACAAAAGCGTCTAAGTTTTATTTATTTTTCTTATCCCTTTCATTGCAAAAGCAGCTTCAGCTATCATGAATTCCATAACTTTCACTGAATCATAAGGTATGTTGATCTTCATTTGCAGTTGTCATTTATCTTCCTTCATAGGAGATAAAGCAATAAATATGTTTCTACATCGAAATCCAGTCACACCTGATCGTAACAACAAATTGATCCTAGATAAGCAAACAACGATATATCACTCAGTGAGATCATTCCTATTTTTCATACCAGGCATTAGATCAAATCTTTACAAATCTGTGACCATCGAACACCATATTTTCTTGGTCAATCGTAATTTTGTTTAAGAAAATTTAAGGTTACAATTGAACGGAAAATCCGAAAGCAAACACTATTGGATCCTTATTATATTCCTTTATTGTTACCATCCATTTAACAAGCATGCATACAGTATGATCTATAAACAACAATCACATTACAGTTTTTCCATCATCATCATCATCATCATCATCTATAGTAAAATAAAAAGTAAGATCTTGTGATTGTAACAAAAGAAATGATCGTTAAGGCAAGCAATGTCGCACCTTTCTTGGCCAGCCGTGTCCCAAATTTGCGCCTTGACGGTCTTGTGATCGAGAACAAGGGTTTTCGTCTGAAATTCGACACCGATAGTGGCTTTTGAGTCCACACTGAATTCATTCCTAGCAAACCGCGCGAGCAGCTGTGTTTTCCCCACCGCCGAGTCTCCAATCAACACCACTTTGAACACATAATCTATCTTCTGATTGTAATCTCCGTATAAATTCGACATCCTCGCCGCGACCGGACCCCAAACCGATTGATTCTCAACCCCACAATCTGGAACATAAAATACCAAAATTACATGAAATAATGATGGTAAACTTCTCAGATCAATCATGTGGGTACATTTTATTAGATCGACTAGAAGATGAAAAGCTTGTGCTGCCTGCAGCGGCCGGGGTTGGGGTGGGTTCGGAAAATTAGAGAAAGAGAGGGGGAGAGAATGGGAATTGTGGTAAAATTAGGGTTTGAGAGGAAGAGGAGTCTGTTGGAGAAAGAGAGGGAACGAGGAGTTAGAGGCGGGGAAACCTTCGGCTAGTGCGGGTCCCATTAACGGTTTTTCAAGTTCACTGCGAAAACAGTTTTTTTGGTGTACTTTCTGGTACATTAGTTTTGGTACACATGGTGGGATCCCGATCCTTAGTTCGGGAGACTTTTGTCTGTCAACATAATTCTTGGAGTGGTTTTTTTGGTAGGACGGGAGACTATACAATTCGATCACTAAATGATTTTATGTTTTATTAAATTTGTACATAAATGATCTTTACATAAAATATTATAATATGAACGGTTGCAATCATAAATACAAATATTTATGAGTCAAAAAGCCTTCCTATAACGGATATGGTCCGTGCTCTACAAATTACAAGTTTGGCGACCTATGTAGTATGTTCTACGAGTGAAACTTCTCAAAACTATGATCACCCTTGGTATCTATTGAATTGGATAACAAATCGATAATGTATATCAACATTATAAATGATAGAACTTTAAAAAAATTTAAGTGATAATTTGTTGTGAAGTGATAAGTTTCTTTCGTAACCAATATTCAACATTCTACGTTCAGTTGGATAAAAATTCAAAAACCAATCTTCCTTGAACATAAGTTGAATATAACGAATTATATATACAATTCTAAGCATCAAACCAGCCCTAAAAATGGAGGGCATTGAACATAGGTTGAATATAACGAATTAAGTTGTGGCTGGATTATTAAAAAAAAGAAAAGAAAAGGGAAACCTAGCTACACAGAAACGTTACTGTTTGTCTTCCAAATAAGGACAAGCAAACTCTTCCAATCTGATAGTCCATTACAAAACAGGATAAGGCTCAGTGGCAAATGACAAAACAAGTCTGTAACCAAAAGAGAGACAAACAATGCCATTAAAGCATTTCATATTATAATTGAGGTTGGCATCTAGTCAATTACGTAATAGTTTCTAAGATTGTCATAACTCTTTACTTGGTTTCTGTCAATAAAAATTAATAAAATCGATTTCTAAGTTTATCCACCATAAATCATTTTGATAATTTCATAAAGAATCTGTCAATATCCTTACATAAAATGACATGCAAACAAAAAAAATGAAATTAAGGGAGTACATTATTAGAACATCTCCTGTTACGTTTTTTTTATGTTTATTTCATATATTGTGTACTGGGAACTCAAGCTGCTTGTTTAGGACACAAGACCTGGTCCCCTCCACGTTTGTGGTGGAAAATCTAGCAACCTTCTACATCACACCCCATCAAAAACTACATTACCTAATAGCTCCCTCTACTTGTTTTTTCCCTCTTTTGTTGCTGTAGTTTATACTTGTTCTTCACTGCATACAGGAAAATATTTTATGTGGTTTCAACCCACTTCCCCCATCACTTTCCTGATTTCCTGTACAGAAAAGAACGTCAAACGGTCCGATTCGAAACCTGCTTCTGCATGTTTAAACACTTGCAGTTTGCTCGAACATCGCTAAGTGTCTGCAAAACAATAAACTTTTGTGAGTAACAACTGATGATGCTTGTCCCCAGTGCAATGTTTGTTGATTTAATTTGTTTGATACCTTGAACTGTTTCTGAAGATCCTTAATATAATCAACCGCCAAATCTAGCATGTCTGCCGTGTTGGTTTGCTGCCAAGAATTTAAAGAATATAAAGAGTTTCCGAACACAATTATGTGACAATAAATCTGAGGCTAATTAAAATGCTTATGTGAAATTCTACCTTGTCCATGTTCGGGACAAGTTCTTGTAGTTTCCTCATTCGTTCACTGATCCGTGTTCTTCTCACCTGTAAATAAACTACGCCTTAGCGTCATCTATGTTCGAGCAAAAGACTAAAAGGAAAAAACAACAATGAAGTTGCATGGTGGATGTACTAATTATAGGATATAGAAAAATATTTACTCTTTCGGCAATGCTTCGAGGATGAGTGGCACAACCTCGCTTTGCTCTAACTTTGCAAGGTACAGAATCTTGAAGTTGCAAGAACTTTTCCATGGCCATTTCTGCTGAAGTTTTTGGTAAACTCAGGTGATGGGATAATACATGAATCCGGTTTTCAAGCTCTCCGCTCTAACCATGAAGTTTATTCAGAATGGGTTAAATATGCAACAAAAATTTGAGGCAATTCAACCACATACACCATAAGGACGTACCTGATCAACAGAAAATAATTTCCCATCATGATCTTGGTCACTTTTCATGCCACCTAAATTCTCTGGAAAATTTGATGAGTCGTTCCAATTTCCGATTGGGAAACCTGTAACATAAAACCGAGTATATCAACACTGCAATCTCCATTAGTATGATGCAGTGTAACTTTTTAACGGTGGCATCTGCAATTTACTGAAAGATTCTAATCCTAATCTATCAGCAATTAATCCGGATTCCGGATCAATTTCCTAAGTAAGAAAACACAGTATCAATTCGTTCTTTCCGAAATATATTATACTTGTTGATAGTTGATGCTCTTGACAACTAAATGTACGAAGTTAGAAATCGAACATCTCACAGATTATCATCTAAATTTTCTATACCAACCATATCCTACACAACCACAGAGGAAAACCAATGTATCCAGAACACATTTGTTTGACTGCCGAAACTCAAATCTCCCACCTTCCTCATTGAAAGTAGCCTATAAATAGTACAGGCTTAATGTAGAGGCTCGGGATCCTATTATACAACTATCTATAGAGAGAGACGAACTCATTCTCTTTTTGTTAACTCCTAACAAATTGCAAATGAGCTTCTCAAATCAACGTATCTCTTATCTACGACCAAAAAACGAAAGAAAAATCTTCAAGCTAACATACTCGAATATCGAATCTACGATGCAAACAACAGGAAACATATACAATGACATGGTGAAAAATAAATAAATAAATGATTACAGATATTAAAAAAAACTAAACAAATGATAATCTAAGTTCAAATCTCCGTCCTCGTAGTTATTAGATTAGATTAGAATATCGTTCCCGTTAGAAAAGCCATAAGCTAATGAAAGAGAGGAGAAAACACAATACCGTTTTGAACAGAGGTGTTGGAGAAAAGGCCGGCTGGGGAGCTACTTTGTCTGACAAGATTTGAAGTTGAATGAAGTGACTTGTTGGCCGCAGTGTGATGATGCTCCATTGCACCCGAACCCGCCAACCCATATCCGCCATTAAACGAGCTCTGCCTCGGATAATGAGGTGGCAGCATCCCTGAATACCCTCCCTGTGAACTCACCCGGCTCGCCGGCACAGCCGCCTTCGTCACCGTCACCACGGATTTATCGTCTAATTCTTGAAAACTCGACGGCCAAGAATCCGAGTCGTTGGTATGGCTGTAATTCGCGAATCTGGAGAACAATCTCTCGGACTCCAAAGAACCCTCAACTGGGTTTTTACTGTGAAGGCCCGAATCGCCGCCGTCGGCCAAATTGGCGAGGAGGGAGCTCGGGGCGGAGCGAAATCTGAGCATCCCAGAATTGGGTTGGTGGGTATTTGAATCCATGAATGGCGGTGCACTGCTTGCTACTGTAGGGTATTTGAATTAATGGGCTCGTGGTAGAATTTGATGCTGGCGGACCATTATACATACGCTGCAGCTCTCAGTGCTAACGTAGCTTTTCGGGAAAATTCTGGGAATTTCTTCTTTTTTTCTTTCACTTTCTCAGAGAAAATTTTAAGCTTGGTTTTTAAGCAGAGTGGGATAAGATCTTGTGGAAGAAGCAACCGGAATTGAAAAAGCCAAGCTTGACCAAAGCGTAAGCCCAGAGAGACAGAGAAGAGCAAGCTTAGCTGGAAGTAGAAGATAAACAGGGACCCCGTAATTAAACGGACCCTTGAGGTCTGTGTGCAATGGAAGTAGAGAGAGAAAAATGCAGACTTGCAGAAGCTGTAGAGAGAGATTGACTGCGAGCCTCAGATTAGCTTCAAGGAAGATCTTGAGCTGATGAGAGAGAGAGAGAGAGATGTTGCTTGGTGCATGTGGTTTACGAGTTGGGGTGCGGCCAATGGACAAGTACAGAGAGCTATCAATATCTGGTGTCCCCAAGTCTCACCGCCTAACTTTCTTCTTTTGTGCTTCTTTTGCTAAACTGCCCATTTACTACTTCCTTTTACGCCTGCGTATCTTCTAGGGTTGTTTTTTGTTTTTTGTTTTTGTTTGATTTATTTTTTTTATTTTTTTTAACAAACAATATTATCTTCATTAAAGATGTATAAGAGTGAATCAAACCTTACAATGCGCTAACAATAATATGGTTCAAATTCGTTGGTGAGAATCAATATAAAATCTCTCACTTACAAGTGAAGATAAATATCACAAACCGTAATACTAAGTAACCTTATAATTTTCATTTTGAATAAGCAATATAATTTTTTAACAATGATTTTTCTCGATGCACATTTTTATTTATGGTCTTTAGTTCATATCGAATCAAGTAAAAAATATTTATATATTAAAGACAAAAATAAATGGGATTATGCAAAATGAGAGAAAGAGTGCTCAATTAATTTATCTTCAAATAAACATACATAGGTTCACAATATTTATTTTTATAAGTTCGATACTTAATTATAGCTAGCACATGATGGTTTGTAGTTTTATTATAAGGCGAATAAACCAATTGAAAAAATATCTAAGAGAATATCCTTTCACTTACTTATTCATCTACAAAAAAAGACTTGTTTATATATCTGACTATGTACAGTTTCATCTTTTTAAAACTCAATTAATGATGTTATAATTTACAAGAGAAAAAAAAAATCATGTGTCACAAGATAGTTAAGCTTTTTCATATGCTTGATCGACCACATATTCTTCCATGAGAAATGCTAAAATCAGTCATGGGCATGCTTGGCTAATATAGCAATTAAGAAAAATAATTGGAGAATGGTAACAGTCTTCTTATGTGAACCTTCTCCTTCTCATCTCTTATTGTTGAACAATGATTGAAATTATCTATTTCCAAAGGAACACATTAAAGACATCTCTACCGAAAATTAACTAAATTCAAAATTAGTTAGTAATCTAATGGTCATCCATCAAATAAATGAACAATATTTTTCAATTAATCACTAAAACTATAACGACGTTAATTAAATGATTAATATTTTTTTTTAAGGACCAACTGGTGGCTTCGCTACGATAGTCCACCCTCTGGGGCCGGGATGACTTATGGAGCCATTTTAGCCTTCCCTAGCCACTATTTTGTGATTCACCAATGCTAAGAATCGAACACAGGACGTGTCATGTGGAATACAGACCTGTAATTCATCCCCAACAACTAGATCATCTTGTGATAGTTGATTAAATAATTTTTTTAACTCAATAAATTTATTGCAAGATAAATCTCTAAATGATTGCTTGAATATAAACAGTTGTGATCACTGAGCAACGTTGCAAGAACATAAAAAAGGGAGTGATAGGTTGTTAGTTTATTTTTTGTATTTTTTTGTCAATTTAGGTTGTTAGTTTGTGAGGTAAGGCCGGGACCAAGATCCTCTCCTGAGCTAAGGATGAGGATCCTTCTCATCAAGAGGTGTGGGTTGTTGGATGAAAATTCAACGGCTACAATTATTATAACTTTACAGAAATCCTTTGTTTATAACTGTTAGATTTTCATCCAACGGTCTACCCCCTTGATGACGAGGATCCTCATCCTTAGCTCAGGAGAGGATCCTGGTCCGTAAGGCCGCCTGGGAGAGATGGGATTGGCATTTGGCACGGATAAGGGGCATAACTGTGACGTCAACATTAGTCCCATCCCGTGAGCACCAAATTCCGCGCTGCATCTGATTCCTGTCGTCGTTTTCAGTTTTGGCTTTGGCTTTGGCTTGGCTTTTGCCTCTAAAATTGCAGGCGCCGCCTTTCCCCAGAAACCTCTGTTGTCTGGTAAATGCACGCTCTCTCTTTCTTTTGTATTTCTTCGTTTATATCTTCTTGTTTGCTTAAAATATAATATAATGATTCTAGATCTTGATGCTCATAATTTGGAATATTTTCAATTTGTCCATTATAATACATCTATTTTCTTAGTACATCACTTATTAACGATTTTTTTTAACATACGATATTATCTACACTAAGAGAAAGAGAGAGGGGTGAACTTAGCTCCAATATGGTTCAAATTCGTTTTTGGTGAGAATCGAACATAAGACCTCTCATTTACAAGTGAATAGAAATATCACTAAACCGTAGAACTAAGTGGCATTAACAATTAGATATACTATAATAACATCTAATTGCAATATATGATCGTCAATGAATGACTGTATTAAGTACATGAATGTTTTTTTTATTTTTTTGGGTAATATTAAGTACATGAATGTTGTGTAGTTGTTTTAAAATTAGATAGAGATTTCAAACTTGATCTACGTGAAATCAATGACTCATGTGAATACTAAAATGGTAACTAGTTGCGAGTTCAATACAGTAATGCCTAATTAAGAATAGCCAATTTGTGGTGGCTTAGCTTTGTTATATATGACTTAGCTCTTATGTTATAGATATCTTGTTTCTTGTTAAAAAAAAAAAAGTCGGAATTTATTCTTGACGACATAAGCATAAACTACTCTTGGTATGAATTTGCTTATATTCTTTCTATTTTTGTGAATTTTTAGTTATTCCTAGATGACGACATAAGCATAAACTACTCTTAGTATGAATTTTACTTATATTCTTTCTATTTTTGTGAATTTTTAGTTATTCCTAGATTGTTAATTGCTAGATGACGAGATAAGCATAAACTAATCTTAGTATGTAAAACTATTGTGCTTGAAGTGACCTTCTCCAAAGTAGGATGTTATCAAGAGTTTACGTATGAAAGCACTTAAAACTTCACTTAAACTGCTATATAGGAAAAGCATATGCTCTGCTAAAAATCACTAGATAATGATAGAGAGAGGGAAAATCTTGGGGTTATGAGTTAGACCACACAATAAGTTAAGTTTAATTAAGGGATACTTTGGATGCGGTCCCTTATCCTTAACATTCTTTGACTAAAACCTTAATGATATTCAAAGTTTGATCAAAGTCCCTTGACTTTGTACACCTCATTATATTACAATTAATATTTATAGTTTTATAGTTTTGACATTAATTATTTGATATTTTATGAGATTTATAATCCCTAATTATAATACTATTAGAAACGTTTACAATAAAAAAATTCAAGCATTTTGATTGAATAAATGGATAAAAACTATGTAAAAATAAGAAATAATAAATGGCAAAAGAATGTATCCATAGTGTTAAAAAATTGGTACATTTCACATATAACAAAGTGGTACATTAATAAAGAAGAATGGGTAAATTATAAATAAATTAGGGTACAGATAAAAGATTAAAAAATTATGAGTACAAATGAATTTTTTAAAAATATAGGCGCTAAAAGAAATTAATATATGGGTACAAAATAAATCTAAAAAGAAAATACTACAAATTAAAAAAAATGTTGCAAATTAAAAGTGGGTACAAACTAAAAATATAAATATATGATACAAAGTTTAGGCATAAAACATAAATATACCATATGTAATTTTTCTATCATTGATTAAATATACAATGTCACATAACAGTATACACAAACACAAATAAAACTTTAAAAAATATGGGCACAAAAAGAAACTAATATATGGGTACAAATTAAAAATAGGTACAAACTAAAAATAAAAATATATGATAAAAAATTTAGCCATAAATATAAATATACTAATTGTAACATTTTTAACACTAAAGGAATATATTTAAAAATAAAAATATTTTATTATTCAAATAATTAATGATGTTATTAATATCCAAGGACCTTGATCAAAAATTGATAATGAATATGATTTTAATCAATGGAGTAGTAAAAATAAGAATGTGAACCTAATTTCTCCTTTAATTAATTGTAACGAATTCGTCGTCTATGAGTCAAATCAAGATATCTCACTTACAAATGAAAATAAATACCAATAAAATGTAGATTAGCACAAGAATATTATCATGTCATATGTATGGTATTTTAATTATTGATTAAGCAAGAATTATTGTAAAAATAAAAGGCAATCGAGATGGATACTATATGTAAAATCGAATATGTGCTTAGAAAAGTGACTAACCACCTAGAATTGCAAGCAACATTACATATATTATTCCACCAATGATGTAATGAATATATGAAAGTAACATTTTCAAATTTTAGGTAGTGCAGATATAAGTATCAAATTCTTTATAGTCATCAATTTTTAGGTAATTCGGATATAGGTATTGAATTCTGTATTTTTTTAATAAAAGAGTAGTCTACTACAAATCTACTTGTTATTCTGTGTACTTCCTCTTTTGAAGAATTTTTAACTCTAAATATTATTCTTTCAATGATATTATTATGTGTTATGATAAGAATGAACGATGTAGCTATATTTTATAGACTTTGGGTGTGATGACATTCATATTATTCGCGTAATGTTACTACATCTTATGATTTGAATGAATGACATGGTTATATTCTATAGACGTAGAGTATAATGATTATCCTATCATTTAAATATTGCTACATCTTATGATTTGAATGAATGACATGGTTATATTCTATAGACCTAGAGTATAAATGTAACATCCCACATCGTCAGAGAGTGGATCCTGTAAGCCTTATATGTATATTCTCATTTCTACCTAGCACGAGGCATTTTGGGAACTCACTGGCTTCGGGTTCCATTGGAACTCCGAAGTTAAGCGAGTTCACGCAAAAGCAATCCCATGATGGATGATCCACCGGGAAGTTCTCGTGTGAGTTCCTAGAAACAAAACCGTGAGTGCATGGTTGGGGCCCAAAGTGGATAATATCGTGTTATGGTGAAGTTGAGCCCGGAATGTGGTGGAGACCCGGGTCGGGATGTGACAATAATGATTATCCTATCATTTACTACATGTAATGTTATACGTTTTGAAATCCTCTCTTTAAAGTTTAAACGGTATGTTATCGGTCAAATCTCATCAATCACTTGTTTTGATCTTATGTTTGATCATTCTGAACCAAAATCAAATTTTATGTTTGATCATTGTGAACTAAAATCAAATTTTTGAGTAGAATAGTCATGTAACTCTCTAT